TGAAAAGGAAATAAGGAAATCAATACCATTTACAATAGCTATCAAATAGATAAAATACTTGGGAATAAATCTTACCAGGAACACAAAAGACCTATACAAAGAAAATTACAAAACACTACTTCAAGAAACTATAAGAGATCTACATAAATGGAAGAACATACCATGATTGTGGATAGGAAGACTAAACATTGTGAAAATGTCAATATTACCCAACGCAATCTATACATTCAATGCAATCCTGATCCAGATGCCATCAACCTTCCTTAAAGACATGAAAAACCAATCACTAATTTTTTAAGGAAATAAAGAGACCTCAGATAAGCAAAACACAAAGAACAAAGTAGGAGGTCTCAAACTTCCAGATCTAAAAACCTACTATACAACCACAGTTGTCAAAAGAGCCTGGTATTGATACAATGACAGACACATAGACCAATGGAACAGAATTGAGAACCCAGAAATAGATCCATCGACCTATGATCAGCTGATTTTTGACAAAGGGCCGAAATCCATTAAATGTGGAAGAGATGGTTTCTTTCACAAATGGTGCTGGCAAAACTCGATATCCATTTGCAGAAAAATGGAACAAGATCCATACTTCACACCATACACAAAAACTAACACCAGATGGATCAAAGACTTAAACATGAAACCTAAAACTATAAAGTTCATCAAAGAAAAAATAGAGGCAAAGTTAAGGGCCCTAATTTACAGCATAGACTGTCAAGCATAACCCAAGATGCACAAACACCAGAGGATAAACTAGATGACTGGGACTTTCTAAAAATTAAATTCTTATGTGCATCAAAAGACTTCTACAAAGCATAAAAAGAGAACCTACAGAATGGGGAAAAATATTCAGTGATGACATATCAAAGGACTTATCTCTAAAATGTATAGAAAACTCCAATACCTCAGCATCAAAAAGACAAACAATCCAATTAAAAAATGGGCATAAGACATGAACACACTTCACCAGTGAAGATATTCAGGCAACCAACAAACACGTTTAGAAATGTTCACAATCATTAGCCATTAGAGAGATGCAAACCAAAACAACCATGAGATACCATCTGACTCCAGCATTAACAGCAAAATTCAACAAGACAGAAAATAACAAATGTTGACAACTACAAACCAAAAAGAGGGAAAAAACTGTGTCGTTACATAACTTCTAAATGGTAGGGAAGTCAAGACAACTACAAGATAGAACAGACTGTTCTAAACTTGGGAAGAAAACTAGAAATCACAGGGTTAACCTCAAAGAAAAATAATAAACCTTCACATCAAAAAAAACATAAATATTCAGAAAATACTAAAACTATAGCAGTGAAGGAAGTGATTACACAATTCATATACAAAACAAGTTCAGCATAGAAAATTATATGCAACAAAGAAATCAACACCACGAAAAAGCACGTAACAAAAATGACAGCAACAAATTCTTATGTGCTGATAATTACATATCTGGCAAGGGACTTATCTCTAAGATTTATAGCCAAAGAGTGGATGACCAAACTATCGTACATACACAGAATGGAATGCTATGCAGCACTAAAAAAATAACGTAAAGTCTCCAAAACACCACATGATATGGATGAACTTGGAGGACTTTATGCTGAGTGAAATAAGTCAATCACAGAAGGACAAATATAGTATTAGTTCATTGTTGTGGAGGGTCAAGGAAAGGTTTATATATGGAGGGAAACTTCCTTTGTTGGTTGCCAGGGGTAGGAGAGGAGGGGAGGGGAGGGAACACAACAACAACAACAAAAAAATGCCCTGACCCATGTCACTTTAGTTTATTTAGTGTTATTTCACTGTACATAAATTATATGTCAATAAAATGCATTAAAATAAATTTTTTTTAAAAAAAGAATTAAACACACACAAAGAAAATAACAAATGTTGGCAAGGATGTGGAGAGATTGGGATTTTCATACACTGCTGGCGGGACTGTGAAATGATACAACCACTGTGGAAATCAGTGTGGCAATTCCTTAAAAAGTTGGAGATAGAAATACCATTTGATCCAGCAATCTACTAGGTCTATATTCTAAAGAAGTGAAAGGCAGGACACGAATAGATAAATGCACACTCATGTTCATCCCAGCACTATTCACAATAGCAAAGAGATGGAAACAATCTAAGTGTCCATCAACCAAGGAATGGATAAAAAAAAACTGTGGTACATACCACAGTGGAATACTATGCAATCCTAAAGAATAATGCAGAATCTGCAAAACACTGCATAACATGGATAAATGTGGAGGATATTATTGTGAGTGAAATCAGTCAATCACAGAAGGACAAGTATTCTTTCAGTCCACTATTGTAAAAAGTCAAGAAAAGGTTTATATATGGAAGGAAATTTCTTTGTTGATTATCAGGGATAGAAGAGTGGAGGGAAAATTCCTAGATAGATTGGAAAAAATATATATATACATACACACACATACATATATATATACCAAAGATTATTAGTGGTTACCAGGGGTGGAGGGAGGGGGAAAGGGGAAGCTTTTGTTTGTGGGGCATTGAGTTTACACTAATGGTAGTGAGATACTTTGGAAAATGATAGCAGTAGTGGTGGCACAGCATGAAAAATGTCAACGTCCCTGACCTGCACATGTGGAAGCTGTTGTGTTGGAGATGTCCTATTGTGTATGTTTTCACCACAATAAAAGTAAAAAAATACGTTAAAAAAGAAAACAAACTTACTGCTGTCAAGTCAGCTATGACTCACAGTGACCCCGAAGGACAGAGTAGAACTGCCCCATAAAGTTCCCAAGGCTGAAAATCTTTACAGAAGCAGACTACCTCATCTTCCTCCTATGGAGTGGCTGGTGGGTTTGAACTGTTGACCTTTTGGTTAGCAGCTGAGCCACCAGAGCTCCTTTTAGCTCCCATGCTGCACTTTAAACCTCTTGCTGATGAGACTGCCTCCATTTTTAAAGTCAGTCCCTGGTTCTCTTCCCTCTCAGGACTGTCTTCCTAGGTAATCATATCCAGCCCGTGGCAAAAAATACCTGCATCTGTGGTCCTCAATTGAGGTGATTCTGCCACCCAGGGGATGTTGACAACATCTGGAGACACGTTTGACCGTCACAACAAGGGGGTACGGCTGGCATCTAGTTAGTGTTGGAGGCCAGGGATGCTGCTAAGTATCCTACTACAGAGGACAGTCCCCAAGACAAGGAATTAACCGGCCCGGAACAGCAGCAGTGTTGAGGACGAGAAGCCTGTCTACAGGAAGATGAGCCCACATCTCTCTGCAGCCCTAACCTCTATGCCAGACTCGAGTCGAATACCCAACTGCCCACCACTCGGGTGCCACAGCATCTAACACATCATAGGCCAAAGCTGGACTTTTACATTTTCTCCTAAACTTTGATTACTTCCATATCTTCCCAAATGGCCTCACCATTTACCTTGTTCCTTAGGCCAAAAACTCCAAGGGCCATCCTTGATTCTTTTCTTTCCTTCATTCCCCACATCCTGGCAAAACGTTACCTCTGAAACATGACAACTCTGAGCACATGTCTCCCCCACACACCTATCACGCTGTCCAAGCCACAAACTCTGCCCTGCACTACTGTTAACAACAGCCCCCTAACTGATCAAATCACCACCCTTGCCCCGCTTTCATTCATTCTCTAGACAGCAGCAGAGACACCATTTCCAAGTGATACAAGTAGCATAGCTTTTCTGCTTAAACCACCCAGCAGCTTCCCATTGCAAAAAGAGTAAAATCCAGGAGACGGTCATGGCCGGCAGGGTACAGCGGGGCAGGATCCCTGCTGCTTCCCTTCCTCCTCTGCTCTCCCCATTCACTATGCCACAGGCCCAGCGGTCATCTTATGTTTTAACATGGCTTTGTTCCCACATCCAGCGCTTGCTGCCTGCTCTGCCTGGGATCCTCTGCCCCGCCACACTACATGGCTGGCCCCTTCCCATCACTCAGGACACAGGTCAAATGACCCCATCAGGGAGGCCCTCTCTACGCCCCCTCTTTAGACTTGCCTGCCCACAGCTCCCAGCTTGCTCTCTCCCACAGCCTTGTTTTATTGCCTTCCTACTACAGCACCAGTGCTTGGAATTACTGAAATTATCTTGGTTTTGACCTATTCATTATTGGAATTGCCACCCCCAAAAAGAAACTCCAAACGACCAGTGACCTTGCCTTACCACTTACATGACAATAAACACTCCGTGCCACAAAACGCCTGACATGTCACCAAATATTCTTTGCTAGAACAGCACAGTGTGAAAGCCTATCTTAAAACAGTTAAATTATGTTTAACAACTCTGATGACTAAAATGAAGCCTCCCCCCTCAAAGATAACCAAAAGAAAATACCCTGAACATGGTCTTTTCAAATACTTCCTTCAAAACCTAAGAAATCTAATATTTGAAACTATGAATGGATGCTCTCCCAATCCCACACTACTACCTTACCAAAGTCCAGCCCAATGTTAACCTACCAGCAAGGAGAAGCTCAACAGCTGCCAGTTCCCCAATGTCAAAAAGGTCACTGAGGACAAAGGCTTCTTTAATGAGCTGTTCTGGAAGAAGTCGGGTCCCCTGCTGGCCTTGGATGGCAACTCCCTCCATACTGGCCTTCTGAACCTTCTCATGTTGTTGAACATGCTTTGGCTACAGTGGTAAAAATAAATAAATACAGTCACCAAATGAAAACTACCTGAAGAAGGTGATTCATGATAGCTCAGCCTGCTGACTCTTATCACATAATCTAGAATTAGACCTCTGTGAGCTAACATTTCCCATTACCTTCAACTCTTTTTTACTATACCACCTTCTTATTAACTATTTCTGCTAAATTCAGAACTACAACAGTGAGGAAACACACAAAGTAGCATGCTATTCTTCAACTTTCAAAGGAACTTCTCCAATTACACATTTAATAAATAAAAACAGTAAGGTCTTCAAATGGGAAACAGCAAATGGATACACAAATTGCTGAGTTAATCAGAAAGCTTAAGAGCATTCACTAACACGTTATTTAAAATATAGGCTTTTCCTCCAAAAGGCGTACTTGGCTCCAATATTTAACAAATGGCATAGAATACACAGGATTACTTGATGAAGCACAAAATCTTCAAAATTCTACACCTTGTAGAAAGACCACCTCAGACATTTAATCCAACTCCTGTATTACAGATGAGAAAACTGGCACCCAGGTAACTCGGGTGACTTGCCTGTGGTCATAACTCCCCAGTGTTAGAGCCGAGATTAGAACTCAGCTCAACTCGATCCCTCTACTGCACCATTAGAGAAAAAGCAAAAGGCCATTTCTGGTAACACCAACCCAGGAAACAGCTCTTAGATGGTCCTGTTACTATAAAAAAGCAGTGTCCACAGCAAGGAAAGGCGGCCCCAGATCCAAATGCCTTCCACTGAAGCACTCTAGGACTGGCTGCAAAGGATTTCAAGAGGCACTGACAGACGTACACCTGACACAACTTACAAAACACTGCAGAGTTAAAACGTTGCAGTGTGCCTGAAGATAAATAACATGACCCATGCTACCAAGCTTAGATGTGTTATTAACTATACGTCAGAAATTCCAAGAAGGAAAATATTTCTGGAATATACTGAACTTCCTACATCACATTCAAATATTATTAAGCTTACTTCCTAGTAACAGATAAATACAGCATTCACTTCTATGGAGACCAGAAAATAATAATCATTGCCCCTACAAAAATTACATTTGCAAAGAAAACCTGAATCACTAAAGCAGGACACATAACATATTTTGTTTTACATTCATTAAGAGTTTACTTGCTCCTCTTCAATCGTAAGCGGGGGGAAAAAAAAAAAAAGCAAATCCAAGATAAAAGAAGAAAATTTCCTACTGGATTTTTGAACAATGAGATGAAGTCCGGTTTATGTTTCTTCAGAACCATGTCAAGCAGGTGAACAGCTTCCGGTTGTCTTTTCCAAAGAGCATTTCCCACCGTTTGCCAAATGTCTTTGTAAGGACCCCACAGACTAGCAGCTTGAAGAAAAAATAAACAAAATCATCAGCAAAGAAAACACACATTTGGAAAAGAATGTCATGTTAAATTCTACACATTTCAGTCAGGCTTACATCTACTTCTAAACATAAGGAGCTACATACACAAATCAAGGAAACCCAAGTGGCACAGCGGTTAAGTGTTCAGCTGCTAAGTGAAAGGCTGGTGGTTCAAACCCACGGAGTAGCTCCGCAGGAAAGACCTGGCAATGCTCATGATTATAGCCCAGAAAACCCTCTGGGGCAGACCTACCCACCACATGTGGTCCCAAGGAGTCAGAAATCAACTCAACGACACCCAGCATGCATATGCAAATCAGACATTTATTTAAAACCACAGCTCACTAGTTTTCTCAGGCAGCAATATAAACATCATTTTATCTAAAAATACAACCTTACTTTAAATCAGATCATCAGCTGACCCTGGTTTTGCCAGTTTAAAAAGAAGGAAAACACCACCACATGCATCCTCAGAAACTGAGTAACCTGAAGCAAGGGGATAGCCTCTTTACGTGTCCCCATGTGTGTGTGTTTTGTGTACACACATAATATTTATGTATTTATATAAAACAGGGACATCAACTGCTTCATAGGGTTGTGAAGACTACATGAGATAAACTAGGCCAAGTGCCTAATACAGTGCCTGGCACACCTTAAGGGCTCAGTAAACGTTAAGTATTTTCCTTCTCTCCCTATCATCCAGACGAAAGGCCAAAGGGGGAAAACCTGAAACTTGCTTTCCCACAGGTTCTTCAGAAATCTGATCAAAGGCTGACAAGTCAATTTTCTTCTCTTAAAAATAATATTTAATATGCACTACAACAATAGCTCTCTGCCACTGAGTCGATTCCAACTCATAACAACCACAGAGGACAGAACTGTCCCATAGGGTTTCCAATGCTGTAAGTCTTTACGGAAACAGACTGTCCAATCTTTTTCCCACAGAGTGGCTGGTAGGTTTGAACTGCCAACCTTTTGTTAACAGCCAAACGCTTTAACCACTATGCCACCAGAGCTCCTAATTGCACTAGCAAGTTTCTGTGTACTATGCACACTTAATGTGATAAGCTCAGTGACTACTACAGAAAAATGCCACCTTTTTTTTTTTTAACTGGATGGGCTTCTTAATCCCTCATCAACACCATCATATCACAGAGCCTAGCTGCAACAAAGATTGATGTTCAGTCTGTCTTTGGTTGGACCAACTTCAGTAAATATCTTCCTATTACTGATTACAAATGAAAGGAAGCTACAAACTTTTCCAAATCACTAAATACGTATTTTTAACATAGTCATTTGCTTGAGAAGTCTATTTATTTTCCTTAATGTTTGGGGATCCCTCTAGCAAGTCACCATTTGTACACTCACTGGTTATGTACTCACTGGTCAAGGAGCTCTGGTGGTACAGTGCCTGCTGCTAACCAGAAGGTTGGCAGTTCAAACCCACCAGCCACTCCACGGAAGGAAAACTGGGCAATCTGCTTCCATAAAGATTGATTTACTGCCTCTCGGAAACCCAGTGGAAGTTGTTATGAGTCGGAACTGACTCAATGGCAATGAGTTTGGTTTTTTGGTTTGGTCACGTACTAGGTGAGTAGAGAGGAAACCCATTCATCATAGCACCATACAGGAGCACCAAATCCAACTGTGGGAGGGGCTGTGAAGGAGTGGTAGGTACCCAGGACAGGAGGTCACAGAAGAGAAGTTCACCCAATCAGGGAAGTAAGGTTTCCTTGAGGAAGTGAGGATTAGGCTGAACTCTAAAGGATAAAAGTGGGTGTTCATTGGGAGTGGGAATGGGGACATGCATTCCAGGAAGAGAGAACATGTGGGTTCCCATGGCAAGAAGGTACACTGCAAGGGCACTGAAAAGGCCAAGAGAGCTGGAGGCAGAAAACGTGGGTCTGGCAAGCAGGCAAGTGCCACACCACGCAGGGCTTGCCTGGCCTCAAGAAGGATTTTGGTCTTTACCCTAAAGATAAAGCAAGATGAAGATGGAAGATGTCTGCTGGGACACAATGAAGAGGAAGGGCACGTTAACCGTATGGAGAGCTGTTTAGGAAGATGGGAGAGGGTGAGGAGGAAAAGAACTGGAGCAAATGAGTTGTGACGGACCTTTGAGAGGTTGGCTGTGAAGAGGAGGAGTAGGACAGGAGGTGGAGGGAAGCAGGAGATCAAGATAAAGAAAGGCTGGTGGAGAAGACAGACAGCAAGAGAGGCAGACGCACGAGAGAGGAGAACATAAGGAGAAGGACATGGAGGATGGGGTTGGCCTTAAAGAGGATGAGGGAAGGAAACTCACTGGAAAGGAGGCAGCCATTCCGAGGGGTTTTTTTTTGGGTGTGTTTGCTTTTCTTTTTAAATTCTGTATTGTGATTTGGCTGCAAATTTACAAAACAGATTCATTTTGTCTCAACAGTTCGTCATACCCAGGTTTGTATGTGTGACAAAGGAAGAGAAACAAAAGGCTGTGCCTGATGGCTTCTATGCTCTCTGGGACCAGGAGGCTAAGATTGAGGTATCGATTGGAGGTTAAAGATCTGAGGAGTCACTGCTGTGAACAGGACAGAGGTGACCATACCACCATGGAAGGACTGTTAAGTAGTGTTAATGTTTGCTTGCCAACAACTTAGTAAGTCATGAAGGTGAAGCTCAAATATAGGTCTTCTTAAAACTCACTGCCAGCAAGTCGGTTCCAACTCATACCGACCCCTCCTTGGATTTCCAAGGCAGTATCACTACGGAAGTAGATTGCCCAGTCTTCTTGCCGAGGAGTGGGGGGTGGGTTTGAACTGCCAGCCTTCTGCTTAGCAGTCAAATGCCTTGGACACTATGCCACCAGAGCTCCCGGTATAGGTCTTAGGACTCTACAACCTCCCACACACACACACCCTCACTCTGGCCTTCTAGGATTCTAAAATGTTTAATGAAAAAATAAAATCTGACTCTTGGGTTTTAAAAAAGTTTCTTTTCTATATCTGCCACAGCCTTTATTATACAAGGTATAATAATCACTTTGCAACTGTTGGCAACTCCTTTTCCTTTTTGCTTCAGTGGTTAAGACAGTAACTGGGGATGAGTACACACTAAGAAATATACATCATCACACATATAGTATACAAGCCATGCTTTCAAGTTTACATCCGGTTGGAGCAGAGCGACAGACAACTTCATTACTAACATCCAGGTATGTGAGAATTTGATGTCATAAAATGAATTAGGTTGTGCTTAAGTAGTAGCATGTAGTAGTTTAAGCCTATAAAATCGGCTTAGAATCATTAGCTTTATAAATCTTGAGGACGTTACTAAACCTTTCTCATCTTTTGTTTCCAAATCTGTAAAACAAGGTATTTAAAAGCAGCCACCCCATAGGTGCATCAAAGGGATTAAATGAGATAATATAAATCCAGCACCTGGGACAGAGTTACTCAAGAAATATAAGCTGTCATCACAAAATAATTTAGCAAAGCATTTTTAAATGGTTTGGTTTACAGAACGCAGATTCAGAAAACTGTTCAGGAGTATCAGTTCTGAAAAAGAAGAACCAGTACTCTCCCCCCTCCCAAAAAAAGCACTGCACAGTTAGAGACAGAAGGATCCCACGAAGAAGCCCTCCTGAGCAAAATTCTCTACAAGGATTTACCTCCCAGGCGCTTTCCTAACTGTGCCCAAGAAGCTAAGTGCGCCTCAAGCCGGCGTTACTGACGTTCCCAGCAGGAAAGTCTACGTTTTCAGGGCTGCTCACCCCATGCAGGGCTTCTGACATCCTTGTCCCGCCCACTAAGTGCCGGCGCACCCCAGGAACTGTGGCAATAAAAAATGCACCCAAAATTGAAACGTTCTTGGGGGAGGTTCCGTCTTGGGCGAGAATCACCAAAAGAGGCCGCACTCTAAACCTCGTAGAGTTCCTTTATCACCTTCTAGATTCTACCCCGCCCGGAAGATCTACGGTCCCAAAGGTACGGGAGCATCCAGAGGCGGGCCACACCCGCAGAACTGGAAGCCATCTGCCTAGCCCGGCCACCTTCCGGATTGCAGGCTTCGTAACTGAGGGTCCTCACTGCATGCAGAGCTCCCCTAGTAGGGGCGGTGGTGCCTCCACACGGATCTGGGGCTCTACTCATGGCTGAAAAATACCCCAAGTCCTTCGACCTCATTGCTGGAGACCTGAATACCCTGGCAAAATCCAGGCCGAAGACACCTCATAGAGGAAGGGGATGGAGAACCAAGCTCGCCCCTGAGCTGCAAGAAATTGCACAATCGGTTGCACCGGACCAAGCCTCACTTCACCGACTCTCAAACGCCAATCCAAGGGTTAGAGTCACAGCGCCAACGCGCGCCATTCAAACCGGAGAGGGGCGGGACCCTAGGCCCAAAGCTTTAAAAATGCGGACAATGAGCACAGGTGGGGACCTGGCCTTGGAAAAGCCTCATAGCCCGAGTCTCTCCCTGAAGAATCAACCGATCCCGGCCCTGCCCTGCAGCGCCGTTTTCCTCTGTCCCCGACAGCACTCACCCGAATTTACCGCCAACGGCGTCGCCATCTTGGAGGCGCACTTGCGGAGCTCTCTAGCCGTACGGAGGACCCATACAGGGGTGAGGCTGCCCGCGGCGACGCCTGAACAGAAAGGCACCACGGTGTTGCTGCCAAACGGCGCGCTGGGCCAGCCTCGGCGTGCGAAAGACTCGAAAATCTACTCTGGGTCACAAATGTCAGTTTTCACCGAGATTAATCCTATTCAAATAGGGCGAGGGTAACCAATTCGGAGACACGAAGCCCTCGGTTTTACGTTCGTACTTTGCATCCTGGGAAGTGTAGTTTCTTAGGTAGCGTGGAAAAAGACATTCTGATACTAGTTATCAGTTATTGAAACGACCCTTATTTAGGATACACAAGGTCTCTGAGTCGGAATCAACTCAGTGGCAGTAGGTTTTATTTATTATAAAAGCCATGCATTCAGTACAAGTTTACGGACAAGGGACAAGTCACTTCTTGGCCACAGACAGCCAGAGGGAGAGAGTAGTTGGACCTGTGGTTTTGGGACCATAGTCGCAGAGGACATCAAGGTCAATTGGCATAACATACTGCACAAAAACATTGTTCCACATCCTACTCTGGTGACTGGGATCTTGTTGTTGTTGTTGTTGTTGTTAAGTGCCGTCAAGTCGTTTCCGACTCATAGCGACCCCATGCACAGCAGAACGAAACACTGCCCCATCCCGCGCCAGCCCCACAATCCCTGCTATACTTGAGCTCATC